TGTCCCACCATTGGCTCTATGTTTTCTCCAGTTTTTTGTTCAAGAATTCTAGGAGACTTGGTTTCCACCACTTACAAAAAGGCCACAGGGCGGTTCCATCACGTTGCAGAACGTATAGCATTCTCCACTTGTACATTAGTTCTGAATCTGTGTTCTGTGTGGTTAAAAAAGGGAAAAGTATACTGGCATTTCAGGTTATCATTCTAAATTTCATTTACTGTGAGATTCTCATGCCTAAAGAACAGTGCATGAAATGAATATGTACAATTTAAGGAAGAACAATAAATGAAAACAAAACCTACCTACTTCTACTTCTTCCTGTTCAAAGACTAAACATCTATCACAATCCACAATTTCCCACGATCCAGAGTTTGGAATTAATCATTCTACTGCTTTTCTTACATTTTTTCCACCTAGGTCTGCCTCTTGGAACAACGTGTACACTTGAAACAGTGAGTACAGAGCAACAAAGCAGGTGAGTGAGGAAAGGACAATGTGTCTGTCAGGTGAGGTCCCAGGAGACATGACTGTTAACAGAGGCTCAGGGTCAGTGTTGGGGGAGCTTCCCTAGCAGTTAACTGGAGCGCCTTCTGAAGAGGACAAGCAAGGCCATGGGAAAAGAGAAGGATCCGAGAGCTGGGCATGAGGCCTTGCTGGTTGTGGACCAGGGACTGGGTGTCTAGCAGGAATCTCATCAGGGGATTAGGTGCCCCATGTATTCTGCTACCTAGTTCAGCATGGACTCCAGGGGAAGTCACTTATCTGTGAGGTAGAGAGGTGATGATTATTCTGGCTGATCAGAACATGGAGGTATGCCTCAGGTCAAGATAAGCACAGGCAGGAAAATACAAATAAGGATCCAGACCAGACATTCACAAACAGTTCAGGATGGTCCCACAGCCATCAACACCTTAGTGATGTCAGTTTCTTACAGATCTTTTCAGTTTTTTGATGTTGGGTGAGAGTCAGATCAGCAGAGGGAGGTATTCACAGAAGTAATGGATTTAAGTGCCATTCTCTTAGAACAGCTGGGCCTGAAATTATAAAGGAAACTCCACACAGCCTCTACTCTCATCTCTGTCACTACCATACTATTTTCTGGAGGTGAGCGTGAGGAGAAAACACAAATGGAAAAGAACAAGTAGATATGCAATCCTGCTGTAGCATTAGGAGTCATCTTTCTCACATTTTAAGCTAAATCAAAGAATCTTTCCTGGAGCTTTTTCTGTTTCACTCTGATCTTAAGATCAGGCCAGGGGACTTTGAAAGGAAAATTTAAAAAACTCACTGTTGGTTTGATGTTCAAATGTCGGTGTGTCCCCACCCACACCCCTAACCCCCAATCGCCCTTCTAGGATTTAACCCTCTAGGGACTCAACTAGCTGTTCCCTGCAAGCTCTCCAGGTTCACAGCTGCTTTCAGTGGGAGAAGCGGTGGTGTGTGCTCATGACATCTAAAATGGAACCAGAACATGATAACACGACTTTCAATTTGGAAAATTAAATCAGTTTGAACCATAGGCAGTAGAGAAAAGGGAAAGTTAAAGATGAGCTTTGAAAGCTTTCAGAGGAAAGAAACAGGAACAAGTATTTTCACAGTGTTTCTGTGTCTTCAGGGTTCGGGGGTCAAGGAAGTCACTTTATTGTGGCCTGTGGACGTGATGAGGTGGAGGAAAGCTGAGAGTAAGGAGAAAATACTTCTGTGATCAGACGAATACATCACAGATACAACGGAATGAGATCTCGGGTAATATCAAATCCATAATGTCTATCTACGTACACAGGAATGTCCTATTTTAAAAATTGCACCCGCTCATCACCTCAACCTCTCCATGGGTCCCATAGGAAGAGAAGTGTCATTTTTACTCTTCATTCTCAGGCTGAGAATCTGAGGTTGGAAAGGGTGAGTTGCTTATTCACTAGAGGAAAATGCAGCGTGAGAGAAGGAGACTCAGGATTCAGGACTGTGGCTTCTGGGACGTGTTCCTCACACAGGCTCCCTCACGGCTGTGCACCAGGATGCTCTATATGGCATGTGAGTGAGCATCGGAACTAAAGGATCTGCTTGTGAGACTCAATGCTGCAGATGCTTCAGCACAGCCTGAGGGGGTGAGGATGTTGACAGCCTGCAGCTGGGGAGATGCCA